ACCCAGTGTGCCCAAACCAGTCGTGCTGCCTCAATGCACCTCTGCCCCCACCACACGTGAAGGCAGCACGCCAGCTTAGAAGCTCCAGGCAGGCTGCACTGCTCCCATCTACTTCCCAGCATTTTCCACCTGGCAGCTACCCCACTCTGCCTTCCACCTAGCCCTACCCCCTGAAACAGAACTGTCATTGGACAAACACCAACTCCATAAGTGTTTCCCTCTCTAGGTAAAAGGTAAAGGACTCCTGGATGGTTAAGTCCAGTCAAAGGTGACTATGGGGTTGCTCATCTCCCTTTCAGGCTGAGGGAGTCGGCGCTTGTCCACAGACAGCTTTCCAGGTCATGCGGCCAGCAGGACTAAACCACTTCTGGCACAACAGAACACCATGACGGAAGCCAGAGCACACGGAAACGCTGTTTACCTTCCAGCCGCAGCGGTGCTTATTTATCTACTTGCACTAGTGTGCTTTCGAATTGCTAGGTTGGCAGGAGCTGGGACAGAGCAAGGGGAGCTCACGTTGTTGCAGGGATTCGAACCACCAAACTTCTGATTGGCAAGCCCAAGATGATATTCACATGCTAGTGATCTCAAACAGCCACCAGGTATCAAAGGGTATCAAGTCTGGTGGGACTTCTGGGGTGGTACAGTGGCCAAAAAGACACTTGGAGACCAGGATTCAAATCTCCTCCTAGTCCCATGGGGTGATCTTGGGCCAGTAGTTCCCCCAGATTGGCATATATCACAGGATCCTGATGATAAAATGTGGGACACCAGGTGCGCCAATCTGAACTTCATAGGAGACAACATTAAACATTTCAATAATAATTAGCTAACCAAGTCCCATTAGATGTAAGGCTAGAGAGAAACTCAGAGAAGAAGTCATATGGCAAATCCAAGGAACATGCCTGAAATGGCATTTTAGGGTCCGCATTATTCTTATGCATTACAAAAGGATTTTGCAAATCAGGTATCCAAAATTGAGTTGGAACTTGCGTGTGTGTGCTTTCTGCAGTATGAAATGTTTCCGTTTTCTAGTAAGCTATAAATCAGACATAAACAGTATCAAGTAATGTTAATAGATGTTGGCTGCGACCCAGTGCCACATAACACCATTAGCAATGATAGGTTATTATCTTCTATACGGCTCATTTACCGGATGGGGAAGCAAAGTGTGTGATGCAGAGATGCAAAATTGTTTTCCCTTTCTTGTAAACACTGGATGACAGATATTTATGGGTGCTGGGAAAGTTGTGCTGGTACATGATGTCAGCTCTCTCTTCGTCATTTCTAAGGCACAAAACTGAGAAACAAAAATTGCTAGTGATGCATTATGACAAGAAATACCACAAATTCCATTTGGGTGGAGACAGCTATCTAGCCTGTGTTTCTGAACACCAGATCAAAGCATAGCAGTGGTAGTAGTACTAGAGACAGGGGTGGTGGTGGCTTAAAGTCCATTTTCAGGTTATTTTTTTTACAATAGAGCCTATGTAGACAGGGTCATTATATGGTTAAGTCCTGAATTTGAAAATAAGCTTGATTTTAAAAGACCTGGTTTGTTCCATTTTTACGCTGAAAATTAAAAGTCTTAGCTAAAACAATTCCAAATGAAGCTGGGGGAATCCTTCGATTGCTACTGAGCATCATTTTTTAAAATTACACTGCACTTCAAAGTAGTGGTGAAACCATTCACTGGAGGAGTGAGAGGGGATTGGAGAAGGCATTAGAGGGGTAGGAAGAATTGGAAAGTGGAAGCATATACAAGCCCCTGAACTTCAAAGCTGAAAGACTGAAGTCCTTGCATATTGGGTTGAAAGAACCAGTCAAATCTCTGGCTGCTATTCTTAACTTGTTTCTAGTTTTCTTAAATTTGCAATCCAGGTTGAGGCCTGGGTCCTCTGTTTTCATCTGTGGCATTTCTTAGAGATCAATCTGAATGAGAATATATCAGGTGCAAGCATAGTAAAACCCTCTTAAGCACAAAACCACTCAGGCACACATGTAGTCCCATAAAAGTTAATGTACAGCAACACAGGTGCTCCAAGGGACACACTTTCTTAAGTGCTTTTCTGGATCTTGGCCACAGCTAATGGGGGAAATCTAAGACAACACAGCCAAGCTCAGCCACTCACCTGTGCAATGGCTTTAGGTAAAGGAAGGCTAGATATTCGAGTAGGAAAGGTTCTGTGCTGCCTTGCTAGATTTATGTTATGCATTGCTTAAAATCCACCTTCTCATCCTTCTTCTTAAGGTGATCAGGAATAAGAATAAGAATAAGAATAAGAATAATTTATTATTTATACTCTGCCCATCTGGCTGGGTTTCCCCACTGACTCTGGGCAGCTTCCAACAGAATAATAATAATAATAATAATAATAGCAATAAAAGATGAAATATTTAAAACTTCCCTAAACAGGGCTGCCTTCTGATGTCTTCTAAAATTCAGATAGCTGTTTATTTCCTTGACATCTGATGGGAGGGCATTCCACAGGGCAGGCGCCGCTACTGAGAAAGCCCTCTGCCTGGTTCCCTATTGTCAAGGCTGCCTCAAGTCTTAGCTCACAAAAGACCAACGCCTACGTCTTCTTATATACAAAGGTGTTTATTGCAGTTCATGGTTTGCTTGACATCCTAGGCGCGCAGCCTTACGTCTCTTACGCTAGACCGCTGAAGTCCCCTCTGAGTCAGTACCTCCCTGCACCAATTTAAGAGACTTGCGCTGCTCCACCTCTTTCTCTCCTTCCTTTCCGCAGGGTCCTTCTGCCCACTGGGGCTTCGCCCTCCTGGATTCCTCTGACGCGGAATCAGACTGCTCTTCCCCTCCTGCGGGCTTTGGGACCTGGCCCCTCCTCCGGGCTCCCTGCACTTCCGCGCGCCTCTACATTTGAACCAGGCGCGCGCGCCAAACCTCTAACTTTCCTTTTGACAGTTACACTACTCCCTTCACTGCTCCTCCCTTCCGGGAGGGCGGCTTGCTCTGACCCCCTCCTTTCTCTGCTGCTGGAGCTGCTTCCTCTGACACACTGGAAACTCCACCCCCTTCGCTGCACTCTGGTGGGGAGGCTGGTCCTGACGCCCAGCTGCCACTTTGGGATCCTCCGCTGGCACCCTGCTCCTGACACTTCCCCCCTGGGGCTCCCTGGCCTTGACCACCGGCGCCCCTTCTGGGAATCCTCTGATTCGCTGGAAAGACTCATGGAATCTCTTGAGTCATTGTCATCCTCTTCCTCGCTGGCTTGGAATTCCTCCCCATCGCTCTCCATCTCCTGCCTACCCTGTGCCTCTCTCCCTGAACCCCTGACACCTATAATCTCACTTCTCGGAGTGAGGGAACCACCAGAAGGCCTTCGGAGCTGGACTGCAGTGTCCGGACTGAACGATGGGGGTGGAGACGCTCCTTCAGGTATACTGGGCTGAGGCCGTTTAGCGCTTTAAAGGTCAGCACCAAAACTTTGAACTGTGCTCAGAAACATACAGTTACACATCACCAAAAAAGAGGGGAAAATGCACACCCACTCACCCAAAAAAGGACAAAGAGGGAGTCAGATTTGCATTAAATATGCATATTTATTTATTATATTTATATCCTGCCCTCTCCCCCCAACAAGTAATAAATCAATTTTAAAAAATCTTTAGAACTACAAGGCCCCTACTATCTATCCTTGGGTTCTTTGTCTTCTTCTATTTATTTATTTTTTATTAACCGACCAATCAACTCAAATCAAATCACATCACAAAAATTCCGAATTACAAAGTCGAATTTTAAATTTTTTGTTGGGGGTACCCATATTTCAAGTTCCGAAGGGGATTCCAATCATCTTCTTGCTGCTGCGTTAATATCCAGAAATCTGTCCAAATAATGTTCATATTTCTATCCAGTCCTATCTTGCTGTTCCCACGTCTCATCTTATTCATATATTTTTCTTTTTTCTTTGTGATCTCTTCTGATAATCTCCTTAAGCAGGTAAACACCAGTTATAATCCTGTGTGAATTTTTCCGTTCGTTCAATCACCATATCGAGATGGTTTCCATATATCATCACTTCCATAAATAAAAGCACTCTTTCAATCATTAATCTTCGCAAATCTGTCGCCTTCTTTAGTCCTCTGAGGAGGCTCGCCCGCAATATGAAAACAGATCCATTCCTCCTCCCAGACATAAGTCTTTCGACAGAACTTGCCAAAATGGCGACGCTGTTTTTTTACTGCATCATCCCAAAGCTCTTAAACTTTCCACGATCTCCTTAAAACATGCTTTTGGTTAGAAATTATCTCCACACAGTCTTAAATCATCAGCTTAGGTCATTTAAGCAGCATTTCTTACTTGTTGGGGGGGGAGGATTCTTGGTTAATGACATAAAGAAAAGAAAGGAAAGTCCCCCCCCCATCCAGTCCCGTTGCTGATATACCGAGCCTTGGTGTGTCTTCTCATGATACATTCCTGTTTATCCGACCCGTCTTCTTTCTCAGAGATCTCTTCAATTAGCAGTCTTTACTCCCCATTCTTCCTTGAAATATGTGCATTTGCTTCCACCTAATTGTTTCTTTTGAAGTTGCTGCAGCTAGAGGCGTGAATCAGAGACAGCGTCCAGGAGAGCCAACGTCCACACAAGGGCTTTCTGCCTAGTGCCCCCACCCCCTCAAGTTCGGGGGTGGTATAGGGCACAGCAGGCAAAGGCAGTCCCCCCCACTCACTTGGGGGGCAGGGAGGCTGCTTACTCCCATCACAGCCTCTTAATTACCTCGTGTGGGTCGGAGAGATGTTATTGTCGGCCATCTTCCAGTGCGCCCCTAGTGCCCCCCCTTTGTCTTCTTCTAAGCACACCCCACAGAAGAAGAAGAAGAGTTTGGATTTGATATCCCGCTTTATCACTACCCGAAGGAGTCTCAAAGCAGTTAACATTCTCCTTTCCCTCCCTTCCCCACAACAAACACTATGTGAGGTGAGTGGGGCTGAGAGACTTCAAAGAAGTGTGACTAGCCCAAGGTCTCCCAGCAGCTGCACGTGGAGGAGCGGAGACACGAACCCGGTTCACCAGATTACAAGTCTACCGCTTTTAACCATTAAACCACACAGGCCTTCAAACAGAGGACACGTGATCAGGTGACCATACACCTTATTTTCTTTGAAGGCCCATCAGAGGAGAGTCCTCTGTTTGAAGCAGCCCTCTCTTTAAAAGTTGCTGGGTCCCATTTAAAAGTAAAGAACCCTATAAAGAGAATATTGCAGCAGTGAATTATGGCAGTGAATTATGTTCCAGTGTGGTGTATTGGTTAGAGTGTTGGACTACGACCTAGGTGACCAGAGTTTGAATTCTCACTCAGCTATAAAACTTATTCGGTCACCCTGAGTCAGTCACTGCCCCTTGGCCTAACCCACGTCACACGGTTGTTGTAGGGATTAAATGAGGTGTGGGGAACCCTCTACATCACTTTGAGCTCCTTGGAGAGAACCATGGGATATAAATGCAATAAGGGGATGCAATAAGTCCTTCCATCTGCCTCTTCTCAACCTAAGGTAAAGGGACCCCTGACCATTAGGTCCAGTCGTGACCGACTCTGGGGTTGCGGCACTCATCTTGCTTTATTGGCCGAGGGAGCCGGCGTATAGCTTCCGGGTCATGTGGCCAGCATGACTAACCCGCTTCTGGCGAACCAGAGCAGCACACGGAAATGTCGTTTACCTTCCCGCCGGAGCGGTCCCTATTTATCTACTTGCACTTTGACGTGCTTTCAATCTCCTAGGTTGGCAGGAGCAGGGACCGAGCAACGGGAGCTCACCCCATTGTGGGGATTCGAACCGCCGACCTTCTGATTGGCAAATCCTAGTCTCTGTGGTTTAACCCACAGCGCCACCCACGTCCCTTCTCAACCTACTGCCAATCAGTTTCACTGAGTGACTCAAGTTCTAACATTATAAGAAAGGGAAAGGGAGGAGAGGGAAGGAGAAAGGAAAGGGGAAAGCTCTCTCTTGCTTTCTCCACTTTTTCCACGCAGTTCATTGATTGGAATGCTTCTGGATTTCACCCCCAAGCCTTTATATGGAGGGTGGAGTCATATTTAACTTTGCTCTATTGATCTTTGTTTTCAAAAAACCAGGCTACCAATAAAAAGTACATTTTTAAACAAGCCTCTTTCAGAGAGAGGCTGGAATTAAAGTGACACAATGCTTTTATGGACTGCTTTAAAGAATCCCCTTGAGGTTCCACTTAAAACAATGTGTTAACAGAGCCCAAATTACTTTGTTTTACTAGCCAACAAAATGTTAAACATGCCCTAAGCCAGGTTTCCAGCATGTTCTGCAGGAAGATGAAAGCACTGGGCGTCTGAGCACACAGGACAAATAAATTAATTTCCAGACTTAAACCCTTTCAGTGCGGCCTCTAATAGTGACTAGGCTCCTTCCCTTATCTTTTTTTCATTTGTTTGTTTGTGTTTGGGATTGTTTCCTCCATCAACTCCTTCCTGATTGGCTCCTCCCTTGCCCAATACCCTTTGGAGTCCCAGCTGTGCCAGCTATAGCCAGTTATGCAGTCGCCAGGTACACATTGCCACAAAAGATGATATATATGCATCACACAAAAGAGGCAGAATTTGCATAAAGTTTGCATGTTGTAATTTACATATATACGCACAAGCTTAGAAACAATTTATATAATTTAAATAGAAATGCAGTGCATTTTGGCATGAAGGGCATCTACATTATTATTATTATTATTATTATTATACTACCCTTTACCCGCTGGTCTCTCAGTCTCTGTACAGATTGCCCTGGTCTTCCACCGCCTCTTAAAAGAAAAAATGGCTGGTGAGAAAATATGGGGGGACATCATGCAGACTCCCATAAAATGTGAAGGAAAAAACATGGCAATTCCATACTGAACACTTACTGTGCAAAAAGCGTTGGTTAATTTGACTATCAGCTGATTGTTAACTGTACATACTGTAAAAAGTCAGTTATGGAGTCATCTTGAGGGTTCTGGGGGGTGGATATATAGATAATCTTTTTTTAAAAAATTAAGTTACTAGTCACTGCTGTTTCATTGACGTTGGGAAGTTGAGCAACCTATAAAACGATAAAAAAATAAAACCAATTGTAATTAGTTGATTAGCAGTCTATATTCATACTTTAAGAAAACAATGCTATTATAAATTTTACTCTGATCCTTTGCAATTTTATATGCAAGTTGCTAATTTAAAAAAAAAAAAGAGCAAGGGGAGATTTCAATTTTATGATGATAGAATGAGTAAGCACTTTCCCTCGGCACCTCTCTGGAGATGTAGTTGCAGGGTGTCTAATAAATCAAGAGAATAGTTGGAATATTCTGGAAACCTGCCAGAGCTAAGAGCCCATCAAGAGAAATTCTTTCCTTGTCCCGCCCCCCCAAAAAAGGAGAGTTAAAAGGAGAGAATGAAACAACCATGGTTCTCTGCCTAATTCAAATTGAAGCTTTCTTTTGTTACATTGCGTTTTTGAAGAAGGTGGCTCTATTCCGACTCATACAGAAGCGAAACTGTACTCTTTTTTTTTCTTGACAGAACAACCCTTCTTGGGCCTCCTCCCATCTGCCTGCCAGATTCTGTTTCACTACCAGCCCCACAGCTGTCCACAGCTGTATGCCTTCCAGCTCTGCACAACTGGCTTTTTCACACAGAAATAGAGTGGGGGTGGGGTGTGTGTGTGTGTGTGTGTGTGTGTGTGTGTGTGTGTTTAAAAAGTATTCACTCCATCATATTGCTTCAGTCCAACAGTGTGTAAAACCTGGCATTTCAGGGCAAGAGTAGCACTTTGTTGTGTGGTCACGGGGCGGCTTTTCTCCTCCTTCCTCTCCCAAGCAGAAAACAGTCTGAGGAGACTATTGCCTCCGGTTTTTTCCAAGAAGGATTCCCTCTCCACCCTCACTTCACTTTCTTTTGAATGTCTGAAAAGACTTTTACCTCAGTATTCCACAAGAATAATTTCCCCTCCGCACTCACAATGCCACCTGCCCTTGCCTCCTTCAACCATAGTAACCCTCCCCCCCCCCCGTGGTATCCCTTATACTGTTTTCTTTGCAGTCCTTTATACTATCTACAACTATTCCATTTGTAAACAGTTGGTGACAGCATCTCCCGAAGAGGGGGCTTTCCCTCCCTCGCCCCACCTGAAATATTTCTAACTAATTCCAAATATTCTGGCACCAAAAAATGTTCATCTAAAAGGACTGGACAGTCCGTATCCCATCCTGACAGACATTTCCTACGCCCTGAAGTGATGTGGTGGTGGATGCTGTTTGAGGCTGAATGGAGGAAGAACAGCCTATATTTTTGTAATGCATGTGATCATGAGGGGACTAAGGACAGGTATATCACTCGACTGTAGAGATGGAGGAGAATTTCATTTGATTTGCCATTTTAAGCAAATGGGTCTAATTCACAAATATTACCGGACTAATCTCTGAATTTTTGCAATACAGTTCTCATCATAACACAATGACACAAAGACCAAAACCCAAATGCAGTTCAAAATTCAGAATTATTATTATTATTATTTTATAAATTTATTTGTTTGGCTTTCAGATTAAAATTTTACAGTCACATATCCAACATACAACACAGAAACAAGATTCCAGAGAATCTCCTGGACTTCCCTCCTCCCCTTTCTTCCTGCATCTTTATAATAATCCAAATCTTTTACCTCTCAATTGTATCCAAAATTCACCATTAAACTGCAAGTGTTATTCCAATCCTGCTAATGATTTTAACTGTTTACAATGGTTTTTAAGATAAGTTATGAAATTTCCCCATTCCTTATTAAAAATTTGGTCTTCCTGATTTCTGATTCTTCCCGTCATTTTAGCCATTTGGGCATAATCCATCAACTTGATCTGCCATTCGTCTCTGGTAGGGACTTTATTTTCTTTCCATTTCTGGACACTGACACAGGTACAAAAAACCCCAAAAAGATCAGTTCAAAATTCAGAATTAAATCCAGGTACACATATCCTACTTATGTACATTCCACTTGAGTAGGTATAGTCCTATAAATACAAGCACTACAGATACTTATTTCTTCTTTTTTTAAAAAATAATTTTTATTAAAGTTTTAAACAACAAAGAAAGAAAAGAAAAACATACACAATACGTATAACAAAAACACAAAAAAAGAAAAAAAAAAGCTAGATTCAACAATAAAAGTACAAAAAACATAACAATTAAAAACAATATCTCTTTTCCATTTCCGTTTTTTAGTTCCTTATTTTCTGGACTTCCTCATACCTCCCTCTTTTGTATTCCAATCCAAATTATTTGTCCAGCAATTTCTTTTCCACTTTTTAATCCCAATCTTTAAGTTTAATAAAATATTGAAATATATAACTTCAATTTCTTTAAACCTGATCTTTGGTCTTAGTATCATATAACGTTAAAATTTTCCCTCTTAATGTCAAATTTCCATTTCTTTAAACATCTTTAATCCTAATCTTTAATCTTAGTCTATCATTAACTTTAACCTGTACAGCACGAAACCGCTTATTTTCAGTCCAACATCACTCTAACATTCTTTAATTTTGCAATGTTTCCGAAGATACTCTTTAAATTTCTTCCAATCTTCCTCCATCGACTCTTCTCCCTGGTCACGGATTCTACCAGTCATTTCCGCCAATTCCATATAGTCAATAAGTTTCATCTGCCATTCCTCCAGTGTGGGAAGTTCTTGTGTCTTCCAATACTTTGCGATAAGTATTCTTGCTGCTGTTGCTGCATACATAAAGAAAGTTCTATCCTTTTTTACCGCCATTTGGCCGACTATGCCCAGGAGAAAGGCCTCTGGTTTCTTAGGGAAGGTATACTTAAATACCTTTTTTAATTCATTATATATCATTTCCCAGAAAGCCTTAATCTTTGGGCACGTCCACCAAAGGTGAAAAAATGTACTTTCAGTTTCTTTACATTTCCAACATTTATTATCGAGCAAGTGATAGATTTTTGCAAGCTTGACTGGGGTTATGTACCACCTGTATATCAATTTCATAATATTCTCTCTTAAGGCTACAGATACTTATTTCACCATTTGTGCAGCCTCGTTAAATTAGCTGTGT